AGATTGTTAAAATAATCTTTTATTTAAAAAATCCACTTGTTATTGGAAAACTCAGATTTCATTTACTCAAGCATTTCAGAATATATTCAACATTTTCTATTTCAACAATTCTTAGAACTTGCTCATTCAATCAGCAAAAATAACAACTACAGTAGTTGCATTCCATTCACTTAAATTGTATTGGCTTATAGATTATTCATTGAAATACAATTTTGCATACAGAATTACTTATTCCAGTCCATTTGATGATTTTAAACAAATGAAATGTGTATATATGTATATTATGCATATATTTTTAAATATACCTACATATATATTAGGGTGGGTAAAAATCCGAAAAATTATTATTTTTTCGCTTCGTACTCTGAAAAATTTAGATATTTTTTCAAGCAATTGGAAGCGAGATATGAATTTTTCTATCTGATAATAAGAAAAAAATAGAAAACCGTCAGGCGAAGGACCTTCCCGTTACAATTAAGAGCTCATACTCGGAGAACCTTTCTCAATTCATTTTTCAAAGTAAGAAGCGAAAAGAACATTCGTGTTTTTACCCACTCTAATATATATCTATATATGTAGTATCACTTCACTTATCCCATTTGGCCTACATTACACTTTCTATGTGAAAAGTTTGTGCTTTCCTGACAGTTGGCTTCTCGTTTGGCCTAACTGTTAAATTTTTCGAATTTTCCGTTCAATCAAAATGATAAATGACTCGTTGCTAATGAAATGCTAAAATATCTGTTTAAACTGCCAATTTATGAAACAACTTTGTTTACATACATACATACATACACAATCGCTAGTACTCAGTTTGCTGAATCCGCAATTCATTAGAGAAAAACCACAACTACTTAAACGTTTGCCAGCTTAGTTAATATGATTCTGATTTCAACTAAAGTTGGAAAGTAGAAATTAGTGAAAATGGAAATATGCAAATGTAGTTTTTATCTAATCACATTTTGTTATTCAAGCAAAATAAATTTGAGCGCTGAAATACAAGAATTTAGTCGTTAAAGTGATGTATAAATTCACTTAGCTACGTATTTTGCTGATTTTTTTCGAAAGGTAAGAGATAGAGACAAACATTTGTTTTATAAATATAATTTCATTTATTAATATTAATTTTATATATTTTTTGCTTAAACTGATTTGAAATTTTCTATGTACTATTTGGATTACCAGCATTATGCGGTGGATTGCTCTGTAATCGGGTTGGAAAAAAATTGATTCAGTTCACAATCGAAATATATACTGATAATGTGAGGAGAAATATTTTCCCATGAAATATCTCTTAGCTGGATGTCGTTTTCTCAAGCGTGTTGAAAATATTAAGCTCACTTGGCTGTTGAGGGATAACATGCACATAAAGATTATATTGTTATTATATTCTTGAAACTACTACTGCAAATACTAAGTTACAGGGTGAGGTATCGTTCTTACCTCAGATATTCATACCAATCATATATTCAGAAGCGATCCTTTCTTCACGACAGCTGTTAGAGAAAGGGCTATTAGATGTGGAAACTTCTCTCAAATCACGCATTCACAATAGTCTCTCTCTCTCTCTGTACACCCCTAAACTTACACCAATGCAAACAAGAGTATCGTGTACAATTTATGTTTCTGGCAATGTCATTAACGAGCTTCAAGTACTGCACTATGCAACATAAACTATTATATATATATCCGCAAGCCAATAAGTCTTACTTAGATATCCTTAGTAACCCTCCACAATGGCGTAGTTACAGATATGTATTATAGATATCACTCAACTTACAACGGAGGAGGTGCGTGCTGCTTCAGTGCCCTTGGCTATTGCATTATTTGTCAGCAATATAAACAGTAACAATTGCAATTTTGTAACTAAATACTTATACAAATTCAATAAAATATATTGCCAAGAAGTTGCAGCTAGTAAATTGACTTCGTTTTGTGACGAAACTTTTTCTGTCGCAATTGCAATGCAATTGGGTAATAAAATGTGGAAAAGTCTCCCCTCTCAGCTTTATTGATGTTGGTGTGTGTGTGTGCATTTGTTACTGTTGGTGCAAGTATCAGTGTCTGATTTGACGTTTATTTCCATGCCAATACTTCTTAGCAACTCTATGTCTCGAGAGCAAGTGTGGAAGAGGCAGAGCAGACGTTTTAATATTGCATTTGGCAAAGAAATTTATCGGAAAGTCACAATCAAAACGTACTCTTCAAATAAACCACAAATATGAAATCGAGTTGTTGAGTTGGAAATGTTTTAAATGAGGATAAAGGAAGTATTAGTAGTAACAAGATTCAAGATTAATTCTTTAGTCATTGTATTGGTATTAAAAATAATTAAATATGCAAATTTGGATAAACTCCAACGGCAATCAATTAGATTTGCTGCTTACTAGAGGAATAGTGTTTATTCTGCTATTACTTTTATTACATTATTCTGTCTCACAGTAGAAAGTAATAAGTCAAAACCTCTTAACGTCTAACCTTAACGAAAATTGCTTGCACTAAGCTTTTATCATACATGACCCTAAATGTAGGCAAAAGTTTTTATTAAAGTCGCATACCTAACACTAGCAAAGTTGATAAAATATAATGTTGTCTGCTTTATATAGAAACAAGTAAGGAAGGGCTAAGTTCGGGTGTAACCGAACATTTTACACTCTCGCAAAGTCAAATTGTATACTCGTTTGAGATTTCTTTGTGGATTGACTGATATTTTCGGTAGAAGGTTAACTATAGGCACTGGGTTCGACATATTTAGTACTTAGGGGCTTGAACAGTTTTGGTTCGATTTAGACAATTTTTGATCACAAGGTGGCATACATTAAACGTATTATTCACACAAAGTTTTCCCCGATAGACTCATTGTTGCTTGATATGCATAGTGGGAAGTGAAAGAATCAGATGGAATTGAAAATGGTGTTATATTGGAAGTAAGCGTGGTTGTAGTCCGCTTTCGCCCATTTTCGCACTATAACATAGAAATATGAGAAGAATGTTACGTACCGAATTCGGTTGAAATCGGTTAAGCAGATCTCAAGATATGGGTTTTCACCTAAAAGTGGGCTGTGCCACGCCCACTGTCTATTTTTGAACGCGGTTCCTATAAAGTCATCTTATACCATCGGAGTTGCCACCCGATTTCAACTATTTTCACACCGTCAATAGAAGTGATAAAAACATTTGCTTCCAGTGAATTTTGTCATTATAACATTAGCGGTTTAGGAGATATGCACATTATACCTATTAGAGGCGGCACCACGCCCACTTAAAAAAAAAATTTAACTCCAGATGCCCCTCCCTAATTTGATCCTGTGTACCAAATAACAGTCTTGTATCTTATTGCGGAGCTTAGTTATGGCAATTTATTTGTTTTTAATTAATGGCGTTTTGTGGGCGTGGCAGTGGTCCGATTACGCCCATCTGCAATACCAACCGTCTCAAGGTACCCAGAAACATGTCTACCTCAACTAAACTACCAGAAACATGTCTACTCAAGTTAGAGCTTGCACGGACGGACGGACAGACAGTCACCCGGATTTCAACTCGTCTCTTCATCCTGATCATTTATATATACATAACCCTATATCTAACTCGATTAGTTTTAGGTGATACAAACAACCGTTAGGTGAACAAAACTATTATACTCTGTAGCAACAGGTTGCGAGAGTATACAAAAAAAAAGATTAATATTGAGAGTATGAACTCTCTAGGCGGATCGAAATATTTGCACAAATGTTGAAAATAAAAATCAATCAGTGGAGCAAAATTAGCAACCAAGTGAACTACTTTGCTGGAAAGAACACAAAAGCTGCGGGTACAAGGAAACCGCACATGCATGCAAAGCTTAGTGGATTTAGTAGCCAAGATTGGCAACCGCAGCGTTTGCAACCGCTCGGCTTGTGGTCCATGCCAGCCGGATGTCAAGTAGCTAAAAAGTGTGCGGCAAGCAGCAATTCAGCTGCTGAAGAAGCCATTGCATGGCTAACAGCAAAAGACAGCAGGTTACCAATAAAGTTGAGTGCAAATAAAACTATATGGAGGCAGCGCAGGTTGCAGCAGGAAGGAAAGCTTTCACTTGGAGTATGGTAAGAAACTCCTAAATGTATGCAAATAGAATGGAAGACAAGCAGCAAGTGGTGCACATACTGGGTAGCCGATGAGAAGATTTCAAAGAAATGTTTAATAAATGTAAATATATGCGGTGTGCGGACATATCCATATGCATGTATGCAAATGAATTGCTATATTGAAGATACTATGCACATATTTATGTACTACAAGCACATTCTTGTATGATTGTGATACTCAATTTGTAGTTGTATTTATTCGTATATGTGTGTGTGTATGTAGCTCCAGTCCTCCACACATGCATTCATACACTACGTATACGCATATCAAGTATGCATCACGCCAGCCACTTTAACACCTTTATTTACGGCACTCATACGCCGTGGCGTTATGTACAAATAATGGCAATTCTCAAAAAGAAGGAAGGTAATTTAAAAACTATAGTGTGTAAAAAAGTAAATATAAATAAGATTCCGACGAATTTTGCGAACGTTGCTGTAACTCTTTATTTTGGTTATGTATAAGTTATTATAATTGCTTTTAAGTCTTAAGCTTTAAAAATACAAGAAAAAAAGAAAATTATATTTTCATTTGTCATTTGAACCATTAACAATAGTAAAACTGATCTAAAATATGCAAAACAAAACTTGGTAGCATTGAAGATAGCGATTGTATCACTTTAATGAAGTATCTGCATACGCTCTTCTACGAATTCAACTCGATAACTTTGTTGTTGCTTTTACATATAATTTTTTTGACAAGAGAGCAAAAGCGAGCAGAGAAATGGCGAATCGAAGACAGCTATAATATAGTATAAGCTATTATTTTTTTGTATTAGCTGCTATATTTTTTTACTCCAACTACGTATTTTACAGACATACCTACAACATATAAATTACTGAACTAACATTACATTACATTTTTTCTGCTTTCAGAACAGCATTCGTTGTACTCCTTTCTATCGAGCTTATGCCTATAAATTAAAGGTGAGTTTAGTGAAATATTCCTTTTTCCATAAATATATATTAATATTTAGTTTCCCTTGTTAGCACTCTCACTCTGACTCATCAGCTAATAATTCTCAAACAAAAGGCTGGAGTGAAAGTTCTAATGCTACTTTGGCTTATCAATTGATAAAATCGAAATGAAATTCGTATTCATAACCTCCATATAACATGAAATATAATGCAAGTTTTAGGATTTATTTGTTTTAGCAAAACAAAAAGATTGGTATAACCCATACCTCCTACCAGCATATCAAAGTTTTAGTTAATTTAACCGAAGTAAAGAAGGTTTGGTTTAAATCTTACATTTTTTGTTATCTGTAACTGCGTTTAATATCTTAATTCTTTTCGTTATATGTCTATTCCTTAAACCAATCGAATAACGGCTTGTTTATTGCAATCTAGTTGGAGCTGATCTCTCTAAAATATACTAGCGTAAGCTAATAACGCATTTTTTGAGCGATACAATTTTCTTAAGAAGTTTTTTTTATCCTATAAATGACCGGAAATAATTTATGTTTAATTAAAAATATTTAAACATAATTATTTTTTTATTCGTCACCAAATAGTTTGATTTCAAATTTCCGAAAAAAAAATTTCCTGCTTGATTTTTTACTAACTGAAGGCAGGCTTTGAATTCTATTAAACTTAACAAGAATGTTGTGTAAAATTTTTCGCAATCGCGCGTTTTTTATTTTGTGTAAGTAAATCTCTGTTATGGAATTTGCACATTACCTCTGCACACAACACCGAATTTTAAACACTTCATTGCATTCACTCAACAAGTTGTGAAAATTACTTGTTTAACAAATTTACACACACACCTACGGGCATCAGCATCAAGCGCATAGTTTTTCCAACTATCATTTGTCAAAATTTGCAAACTCTAATTTTCCGCTAAACTTTGATGCAATGCAATCACATAATCTGGGCGTAATTTAATTTTACGCTTCAACTCAGCCAATAAGCCTGATGTAAAATGTGCATCGGCACACCAACTTTATAGCATAACAGCATGATTGAATTCATTAATACAAGTATATATGTATGTATTTATGTATGTATTCTGAGGTGTACATGAGAATGCGAATATCTATTTATATGTACATGACAGAAAATAGCTAAGCAAGGTGAAATGAAAAAATTTCATTTGTTTAATAATAATTCAATACAAATAATGAGCGCTGAAGAAAAATGTTGTTTTTTTCACAATCTTCTTAAGCGTAGTCACCCAATGGACCTACTCAAGAAATTCAACGTTACAAGAAATGCAACCGTTATCTTATCACACTGCGATTCATAAACAGCTAGTATAACACTGCTTCCATCCATTTCAAGTCGCAATCAAGAAATCGCAGCAGCCAAGTGAGCTTTCTGTAAGCCTACACAACGCGTTCTACTGTGTCATGCATATTAGTTAGTTTTTATTGTGTTATTACAGTTGTTGTTATTGTAACTTTACTTTTTAACTAGTTGTTGCTGCTATTGGTATTGCTGTCAGTATTGTTGCATTTAAACACGTTGTCACATTTGTATTCTTGCTAAGCAGTCGGCGAATAGTTGAAAAAAAAATTTTTAACAACAACAATAAGAACAACCAACAGAAAAGCTCCCGTCACGTGCTGCACTCAACAATGCACAGCATGAAAGCTGTATGAAATTCATACAAGCCAAGAATTACTTGTACATGCATATACATATGTCATGTCAGACAAACCTATGAGTGTATATTAAATTCCAGGCACATTAGGTTTGGTATGTATGTGTGCACAAGTTAATGCATATGCGTGTGCGTGTTTTTGTGTGGGTAAGTGAGCGCTTCATTTTGAGGCCGCACGTGCAGCAACTGCATATCATTCACGTGCCTCGCATGTAGCATACTTGTAGGCGCTATACATATTTGCATATGCACATACATACACATACACCGACACATACACGAACACCGCACACGCTTCTTCCACTTCTTTCGCAATTCAGCCTTATTTTAAGTGTTTTACATTCACCAAATTGAAGCTTCAACCACTCAAGTGTTTGGTGTATTTGTAAATATGAAAGGCATATGTTATATAACCAGCAAACCCATAGTTGGTCAAATGAAAGCAAATAAATAAATATTTTATTCTGAAAATCGATATGGCTTATAATGAACTTGTGGAACAGTATGATCTATGAATATCTTTCTTTTTTTTTTGAAGTGATGCAACTCACTATACATATAAAAAAGAAATAATAAAAATATATTGCACCTTGACAAATTGACTGGCGACTTCTTGCGATAATGTATTCTGAAGAAATAAATTCTACTACGAGCCCTCCTTTGTATATTTATGGAAAGAGTTCTCTTCCGTGAGACTAGAAACAGAGTGCTTAACCACGATCTTGATAAACAATGCGTTTTTTTTCTACCTCGCAACAGCTTATTTTTGAAACTATATCTCATAAAACTCAAAAAAATATGAATTTATATCTACCAATTGTGCAAGTAACTCGAGCTTTACCAAGCTTCTCCAAAGCCCACAGAATTGCTTACTGGGTGCTGTCAAAATAATGTTTGTGAATATGTACTTTAAAAGAATGTAAAATTTCGCACGATTGCACTTAACTACCAGCAGCAGCAATACAATGAGTGTTAAAGTACGTGGCGTATGAGTAATGTGAGCAAATTTAATGCGAACAATTGTGGGAGTATGTATGAGGAGCAGAGGTTCGTGTTTCCCTCCTTTTCGCAACTGTAATTCAATTGCACATCACAATTGTATTGCAAGCGAATGCATTTACCGATTTATAACTGATCATTTGAATATGTATTATTTACGTAAATCTGTTTGCGCCTATAGTTAGACCATAAATCGACGAAATATATCATGGATAGAACGTTGATATCAATATACCTATACATATAAATATTATTGTGAAAGTGAATTACAGTCTCTTAAATACAGTACGTCAGCAATGTATATGTATTCCGAGCATTATTTGTTTTACTTCTAAAACTTTATTTATGTTGCCACTAATTTGTATCTCTGCTTTAATCACTTGTTTAATCTTCGCTTCACCATATATTGTGACTGAGTATGAGCTTAAGTTGCATTGAAGTTGCTACAGCTCTCCTAAAAATCATACGTATGTATATACCATTCAGGTTTTGTTGCCATCCTGCTCAGTTTTATAGTCTCTTATCATTGCATTATAAGTGATGAAAGAATACGCTCAGCGAACAATATTCTGCTTTTTATAAGTGCTACCAGAGTTTTCTTGAAATTATTTGATGTAAAGCTCACTTTAAGCAAATGTTAAAAAATAATCAGCGATTTCTTAAGCAAATCATCAAACAATATTATTTACAATTAAAAAAAATCAAATTCATAACAAATCTGAAACAAAATGTCTAACTTAGCTAACCTAAAAATTTTTGCTACAAACCAATATTTTGGTGAAAATTTTTGTACATAAAAACAACAAAAACGTCAGTAAGCTTCAAATCAATACAAAAAAGTTTGGAAGTAAATCTCTCTTACTTCAAGTCGAACACGATTTCGAAAATTTCGTATACAAAAATATATAATTTACGACAGCTGACTTGTAGTATTGCCAATACTACTGATTTACTCCAGTTTCAGTGTTGCCACGCTAGTTGCTCATACCTTTACTACCTACCAAGTGTTAACTTAACCGCGCAGCTTTTTGAATATTAAATAAGCATTTCTTTATGTTTTCGCAGAACTGTCAGGAATCCTATAAACATTTATTTACTTTCTACAATTGTTTATTACACCATCATTTTCATTTACCACCAGCATAAAATGCATTTAGTCACCTTGTTTTTTATTATTATATTCGTATTAAAACTTTAAAAACTGTTTATTTTTTCGTCTCGTTTCTCTCAGAGCACTACCGTTGACTACTCTTCGAGTAACACTTTATTCCTCTTATCATTTACCATTATTTTGCTTTAGTTACCATTAAAGTAAAGTATCGTTTTTGTTACTGCATCACGCGTTGTTGTTGTTGTCATTAGAGCTGAGAAAATAACACGCCAACACTTTAGCTGGCTTGTTGACACTATTTTGCAACACATTTTTTTTATTGCATTCTATGCTTTTGCACGTGTTCTTCGCAAATACCAGCGATTCGCAGACGCTTTTGCCTTCAAACGTCAACAGTGAGAGAGCAGAGCGTTGTTCATACGCCATGTACCACCACGTACGACGAGCATATTTGCCGTCTTGCAGCAACGCATCGTTGCCAACACTTTGTATGCGCATGTATATTTCTTGCTCATTAGTGCAACCTTAACGCACACTTTGAGGTTATGATGAATTTAGTTCTTGTACTCTATATTTATGCGCCCCTTACGTGGCAAACACCCTTCAAGAGCGGCACAAGCAATATTACAAGCGGCTCCTTTGGCCTGAACTTTAATGCTGTGTTGCTTGTTTTTGTTTTTGTATGGCCGATTCTTGCGTGTTTTCATATTTTTGTTTTCTACTCATAAGAATAAATAGTAGAAGAAAATGGAGAAAAGAAGAAATGTGTGTCACCACAAGAAGTTCACACCTGCCGCAGTTGTCACATCATTATTACTGCGCATATGTACTTATGTATGTGTACATGTGTATGTATGCGTGCGAAACTAGATGTTTTACGTGTATTTGTGCGAAAGGTGTATGTGTGCGCTTCAATGCGCTAAAAGCGGTAAAAAGAAAGATGTGGAAACCGTTAAAAGTACCGGAACCGCTAACTGTAAAAGCAACGAAACTAACGGCAATTTCAATCAAGTCACTCGCGGTGTTGGCGGTGTAGCAACGGTTGTTGCCATTAGCGCCACCAATCAGCGTGCAATACATAGCACGATTGCGTACAGATAATTGCACTTAAAAGTGTACTTAGAATATTTTTGAAAAAATCCATAATTCCATTGCTATTGTATGTGTGGTTCGAAAAAGATAATTCTATGAAAAAAATTACTGAATGATGAA